TTTGGGGGGGGGTAATATTCTAAACAGCCACAAAGATGACATATGCCAACAAGTTTTTCTCTTTTTTTGGTTGGCAAAGTTGGTACAAGGTGTTTGAAATGAGATTCTCCCTTGTGGCCGCATCTTTAATTTAAAATTTGCCTAACTTAACTTTAAACTGTTTTGTTTACTAGGAAGTAAAAGATTTCCTTACTGCAATTAAGGATTAATTGAAAAACTGCGGAATTTGTGATTCAGAGGGTTATAAATTTGATAACTGATACCCCCATAATACACATTGTGCCCGCGCCGCGCTCGCCATGTGGCTTCGCTGCCCCTATGTTGGTGAAAACCCTAACTTTGTTTATTTTTTGTTCCAGTTGCAATTGTGTTGAGGCTTTTATCGACACGATCTTACAACTAAGGTAATGTAAAACCAATAAGAAGTCAGTCATTTGAGTTGTATGTTCTTGTTGTCTTTTCATGTTGGAGAACTCGATCAGTTTACTAACAATGACTTTTTACTTCATATACATGACTAACCTTACAGTTACATAACTAATGTTACAGTTCATTTCCCATATACATGACTAACGTTACAGTTCATATACACTAATGTTACAGTTCATATTCCATATACATGACTAACATTACAGTTACATAACTAATGTTACAGTTCATATTCCATATACACGACTAACGTTACAGTTCATATAAACTAATGTTACAGTTCATATTCCATATACATGACTAACATTACAGTTACATAACTAATGTTACAGTTCATATTCCATATAACGCTACATGACTAACGTTACAGTTCATATACATAACTAATGTTACAGTTACATAACTAATGTTACAGTTCATATTCCATATACATGACTAACGTTACAGTTCATATACATGTACATAACTAATGTTACAGTTACATAACTAATGTTACAGTTCATATTCCATATACACGACTAACGTTACAGTTCATATACATAACTAATGTTACAGTTACATAACTAATGTTACAGTTCATATTCCATATACATGACTAACGTTACAGTTCATATACATAACTAATGTTACAGTTACATAACTTATGTTACAGTTCATATTCCATATACATGACTAACGTTACAGTTCATATACATAACTAATGTTACAGTTCATATTCCTAACGCTACAGTTCATATGCAGGACTAATGTTACAGTTCATATACATGACTAGTATTACAAAAGAACTGAAAAACACAAATTCAAAAGTTAATGCTGAAAAAACAAAAGCTAATGAGTTAAAGCTGGAAAACAAAAATGAAAAGTTAGAGCTGAAGATTCAAAACAAAAAGTTAATGCTGAAAAAAGAAAAGCTTGTGAGTTAAAAGATGGTAAACAAAAATGAAAAGTTAGAGCTGAAAATTCAAAACAAAAAGTTAATGCTGAAAAAGAAAAGCTTGTGAGTTAAAAGATGGTAAACAAAAATGAAAAGTTAGAGCTGAAAATTTAAAACAAAAGCCAAAAAGTTAATGCTGAAAAAAGAAAAGCTTGTGAGTTAAAAGATGGTAAACAAAAATGAAAAGTTAGAGCTGAAAATTTAAAACAAAAGACAAAAAGTTAATGCTGAAAAAAAAACAGAAGCTAATGAGTTAGAAATGGAAAACATGTTGGGTTGTACTTCCTCCATGCTGTCCCTATTGCTCGTCACGAACACGCATGTTTCTGAGTGCCAAGAACAAAGAAGCATGGAACATAAAGTTGTTAGGTGACATGTAGGCGAGCTGTGGTTGGATCCTGATGAGACCAGAGTTTGCTTGCTCATTCACCTGGGAGTTGATGGTCCGAATCTCTTCTCTAGTGGAATAACTGTCCATGCAGTACCCCAGTGAACAGCCAATGTGTCCCTTAAAGTGGAACCGGTCAACAACAAACATAGTCTTCTGAAAGAAGTGGGGCTCCCTATTCATCGCATACCTGTGAAGCTGACAGCTGTTATCATACACAACTACTCTAGGGGCCACCTTGAACCTTGTCCTCAAGATCTCAAACGGGTGATGAGGTGATTCACAGCTTCTCATGGCCTCAAAACCATAACAGACACCATGACGACAGAAGATAGTAAACAGCCCTGGAGTTAGTGTTGGGTGGCCATACGACTCTTTCCGGCAGCTGTCCTTCTCCCTGCACTTCCTTGCTTCATCCACAGCATACCTAGGAAGACCGCAGTGCTGAGGAAGGGAAGGGAAAAAAGAAAGAGTAGAAGGTCCAGGGGGAGTAGGATAACAATCTGGGGAAGGCTTCTCAACACCCTTGAAAGTCTGAATGAGAACTGTCCTGAGGGAGAGAACAAGAGTTGAAATGTCAGGAGGAATGCAGCCTGCTTTGGTGACACTGCTAAGGAAATCTGTCAGTACTGGTGCTTTCTTCTTCAGATAAAGGTCGTGTTCCCCGCCGCCGCCAGTCTGTATCGGCTTGAAAATCTGCAAAATTCGTCAAAATAATTATTACATGATTCAGACATTACAGTAGATATTAATTCTAAACAGTTGAGGTAATAATGATTGCTCAAATATCCATTCAGAAGGGACACAACATAACATAAAATTACTTGTCGGGGAAACGTCCAACTAGACGGGGAACTGCCGTGGGGGGGAAACGCCGTGGGGGGGAAACGACCTGATACCATTAGGTACAGTACTACATGTTCATTGTTTCCACTTCTTCCTACAGCCCTCCAAGTAAGTGCCTTAGTCAATATTGATGTTGAGTGAAATGCATTTTAGATTTTCTTCATCTGTCGTAACACTGAGTTTACATTTAAAACTTACAAGTTGAATGTGCCGCCAAAACTTACCGCATGGAATGCTGGGATACCTACACCCAAGCTACCCACGCCATGTCCGCCATCTTTGCTTTGTTCAAAATTATGGAGTGCCCACAGACTGTTGCAAGATTTCCATGTAATCTACGGACATCGTAAGCTAAACATTTGTAAATATGGAAAATAAAAGTTAATTTTAGTTAGGATCATTTTCATGTGCTAGCTAGAGATTCTGAAATTGAAGAAAAAAACCAAGCAATATTTTGTAATGCGTTGTCGACTTGTAACGTTACACTAACATTACATATTGTCTACGAGCGTGTATTGTACCCCAGTCGGTCAGACAATGTCAGAATTGACCCAGAACTTAATTTTTTGTAATATAAGAATATGTGTATTTTGATGATGTACATGTACATTTATCTGTAGCTTGTCTTCTACGTATCAAACGAAGCGATTTGCTACTCAGTTGTAGTAGTAACGTTACATTGAATACTTTGTAAACATATGAGGGAAATTGTGCTACATTGTAAATAAAGTTCACTTGCCATTGGTTAAACTGATCACTGTCTGCATTTCATTGTGTCACAATTTGCCATGAAGATCGGATGCATCGATAAGCCAGCCTTTTTTTACCGATACTTGTAAAAATCGATGAGTAAAAATCTATATCGGGCGGCAGGCTCCGGGCGGGCAGACACTGTTTTGTCTGTGAGTGCTGGTGAATTTCCCGTATGCGCAATGTCGGCTAAAATGGTCCAATTCCCGTTCGTGTAATTTGGTGACATTCCCGTCCGTATATGTACGGCGTACTCGGACGGTAGGGCCAGTGCTGGTGAATTTCCCGTACGCGAACAGACACTGTTTTGTCCGTGAGTGCTGGTGAATTTCCCGTACGCGCAATGTCGGCTAAACTGGTCTAATTCCCGTTCGTGTAATTTGGTGACATTCCCGTCCGTATACTTTAAGTATATGCCGTGTCAGTCCCCGAGTACGGCGTTCGCGGACGGTAGGGTCAGTGCTGGTGAATTTCCCGTACGCGAAATATCGGCTAAAATGGTCTAATTCCCGTTCGTGTAATTTGGTGACATTCCCGTCTGTATCCCCCAAAACTTGCGCGCACGGTCAGTCGTGAGTGGTGAAGTTCCCGTACGGGACTCGGCACTGCTAGGTGGAGAGATTCCCGTCCGCGGGAATTTCTCCCCCTCTATGGCACAGTTCCCGCACGGGAAACTCTCCGATTCCCGTAACCCAGCTTAGCTCGTCTGCTAGGTGAAACTTTACCAGTGGCGGGAAAAATAATCGGGCCTGTCCGGGATTCGAACTCGGGACCACGCGCGCCCTCTAGACCAACAGGCCAATGAACAGTTATAACAAACTTGGAGGAACAAATGTGGTTTTGCATTTATTCGTTTTCATGAATATTTCCGGATAGATTAATCCTAAATGTAACCTTACAGAACGTTAACATGCCAGGTTATCTTTACTGTTAAAGACCGTCAAATGTAAAGATGACAAGGATACATGACTGCCTGCTTTGTAGCAATATAAATACTTCTTAATGTAGTCCGTCATCAAAGATGCAACAGTTGTAGAAAAGTGGATCTGATTCTGTTACAAAATTAAGTTTAAAGGCGTTATAACTTGATGTAACTTTTCCCAGGGTGTCCCTTAGTAATAGTCCTTGACTAGGTGGGACACCCTGGCTTCTTTGTAAGCCAAATGAATAAATAAAAATGAACTTTTCCATTCGGATGTTTGGGCAAACGTTACACAACGTTGTAAAATTGTATATGCAGACTCTATATAATGCACTTGGGTTACAGTTTGAGATTCAGTGGTTAGTATTTTTTTCTTAATCACACCTCGACGCACCACACCTAACCTATCCCTCGTCAGCTATGATCAGGCTAAAAAAACATATAAGAACGTTTCGTCTGTATTTGCTATAAATATTCAAGTCAACAGGAAATTTAATTCTACGTACGTCGTGGTTATTGTTATGTATACACTCCGTGTGAGTGCGAGATGGTATTTTCATTTGAGGAGATTTCTGGCTGGGGAAAGGCTGGGGAAAAACTGCTCGGAAAAAGGTATAGAGGCTTCGTCCATTCTTCATGTTTTCTTGACTCTGTGGGTGAGTGTCCAAGATCTATCTGAAGACTTAACTTGGTCGTCTTCGGATGCCGTGACTCTTGAGATGGCGCACTCCAGTCTGCTTGGTTTGGTCGTATTTTTGACATGGAGCGGAGCAGGCCACACAGCCTCCTACCCGAACCTGGAGTGTTGTTGTTCGACTAAGATGTACACGTACGAAGGGAACTTTAGGGACGATACTACCCAGCTAACGTGCTCCAAAGCCTATTCTTTACACTCCATCCCAAAACCTTTACCAACCGGTCTGAAACGATTCGAAATATGGAATCAGAACATCCCAAATATCACACCGGGGGACTTTCCTAGTCTCCAATATTTGGAGATATTGACTATATTTGAGAGCCAAGTTGTGACCATCCAACCACGGTCATTTCAAACCTTACCGAATCTGTCACAACTCTCCATAACCAAGAACAAGATCACCCGCTTAGAGGCCGAGACATTCAGGGGACTGACCAAACTGGAATCCCTGAAGTTGAACATTAACCGGCTACACTACATTGATGACGCGGCATTTGTTGGACTCGCCAGACTACGCAAGCTTTCCCTGAGCAGCAACTGTCTTTCCAGCATTCCGCAGGGGACATATCAGTCCCCCTGGCCTCTAGAGTTCACGATGACGTTTAATCCTTTAACGTCACTCATCGCACCTGAAGAGCTGAAGCACGTCTCACGTCTGGTTTTGGCTCAAAACGGTCTCCCGTGTGACTGTAAGCTGCGCGATATGAAGAGATGGACTAGAAACAAGCAGTGGATCATCAAGTGTGGCACTTACCCGTACAAGAGAATCCAAACGTTGTCTCTGGACGATCTGAAGTGTGACTACAAGGTGTCTGTGTCCTCAGACTACGGGACGGTTACAGGTAACGTTTCGCTCACCTGTCAGACAGACTGTCAGGAAGGTCTAGATCTGACGTTCTCTTGGATCGCTCCAAATGGAGACCTTCTGTCGTCAACCCGCGAGTACTCCAGAGCCTACACCGACGTGAGAGAATCGTACTGTAAGGAAACACCCGTCACCAGACGTGAAACAAAGAAAACGTGCTACTCCGTGCTGCACATCTCCACACTCCGTCGCGGGATGGAAGGTCGGTACACTTGCCTGGTTACGGCCAATCATGCTAACGCCGCGAGTGCGTCCACTGTGCTCACTGTCGCTAGCACCGAGCCTCCAAACGAACTCCAGAAAGCAACAAACGAGACGAGCACAAGAACCTACACGTACACGTACGCCTCTCAGTCCCAAACGACATGTACACCTACTTGGGATGCAACGACAGCCATGGGAGGCAAAGGTGTCGAAACGGAGGCCGCTACATCCAGCCCTGGCCGTGGACTATCTCCGATGCAACTTGTCCTGGTTGGACTGGCGCCTGTCGTTGGATGCTCCGTTATCGTGATGGTGATAGCTGTTTGTGTGAGCAAGTGTAAAGGAGACCGTCAGCGGGACAACGCCAATGGACACAGGAGAAGATACTACGGCAACGATGACCAGATCTCAGACACGGACTCAGCAGCCAGAGGGGTCAGCTACGAAAATGACGACCAATTTTCGGACACAGAAGGGAAAAACGGAGTTCATTATGAAAACGACGACCAATTTTCGGACACAGGCGTTGGAAAGAGAAACGAATACGAAAACGACGACCGGTTTTCTGACAGGGACTGCACACACGGAGGTCAGTATGAAAACAACGACCAGTTTTCTGATGATGACGATGATGTTGCGAGCAAGCATCCGCGCCGGACAGTCCCTCAAAACTTGCCCTGTAAGAAACCAGGGAAGACACCTTCCCTTGCCAAGGCTGAAAGTGACCGACCTCGTCGCAACCAGAAAGTGACAAGGGATAGGCCCAGAGTCAAGAGTAACGTGTTACGTGTACTTGCAGACGTTCACGCTCAAGCACAAGCAAACGGACAATATGACAACGACAACAAAGCAACAGGACTCTGCAACACTGCCAATGCGACAAGGAGCAGGCCCAAAGCCAAGAGTAATGTGTTACGCGTACTCGCCGAAGTCCACGCTCAAGCCCAAGCGAGTGGGCACTACGACAACGATACGAACGCCTCTGGAATCATCAAAAGTAAGGCCACGACATCTTCGGACAATGTGGCGTCAGACGGCGGTCAATATGACAACGAGAGACCAGTCACAGATTCAGTCACAACGCCGGCGTCAGAAGCCACCAAACGAAGTGATGACGGGAGCGACTCAGACATGACGCTCCCTACCCATTCTCCAGGAGAAGACACTGGGAATGGAGAAAAGACACAATCTGAGGGAAAAGCGGACGACAGGAACATTACATCCACCTCTGCATGTGCTGATGATGTGTCAGACAACGACTATATAACGTTTCCTGGGGAGGAAAATGTTGACGGGAAAACAGGAAAAAGAAAGGACGCAAGTCAGACTTAGACACGGCTTTATCCAACGCAGAACAAGAGGGTGCTCACACCAATGTAACGTTTCCTGGAGAGGAAAATGACGAAGAATGGCAAAAAGAGGCAGAAAAGAAAGGTGAACACACGCCAGACATAGACACTGATTCGTCCAACGCAGAGGACAATAGTGACCACACCTATGTGACGTTTCCTGCGGAGGAAAATGATGAAAACGAACGAGAAACAGAACGCCCAAATGGTCAAGCGTCAGACTTAGATGTTGTGCCGATCAACTCAGACGACATTTCTGATCACGTTTACGTGACATTTCCTGAGACAGAAAATGCAAAGGAAGACGAAAATGAAACAAAACCTCAAGAAGGGCACATGCTTGACTCAGAAACTGATTCGTCCAACATAGAGGAGGACAGCTCTGACCACTTCTATGTGACGTTTCCTGGCCATGGGGAGGAAAATGATGAAAAACAGCAAGGACCGTCAGGAAAAATGGACGAACCCGTGTCGGACTTAGACACTGCTTCGTCCAACACAGAGGAGAACTCGGGCCACGCCTATGTGACGTCATCTGGGGAGGAAAATGACGAAGAAACAGCAAAGAGAGGCAGGGAAGACGGTCGGACATGCGTCAAACTTACACAGCTTTATTTCACACAGAAGTAACACGTGTAAAAACAGGGAAATACAGGTGACCTTATCTGACCAGGACTTACAACATACAATGTAATGCATGTCTGTGTAATAGTCTCAAAGAATGTAAAAGTGAGGGTTGTTACAAATTTGCACAAAAACAGTTAGATTATTAACATTCTGTATCAGCCATTCGAGATGGAAGGATGCCTACTACACACCAGCCATGTGAGAAATGTCGGATCTGAGTCACGACTTGTTTTGAACACCCTAACAACATTCTGAGTGACAGACTAATTTCTAACCTTTACATTACGTTACGTGTGATGAATAGTACAACGGTGTAGCTATGGCGGTACAAGAGTATACTGATGGCGTTTTATAATCAAAGTTTGTTTTCTCAATTAAGTGTGAGGTAAACGTATGTATGGATTGTTTTTCTTAATACGATGAAAAAAATACAGCACTTACAATAACAGAACATTTACATGTGATACAGTGACGAATTAGTATCTAAAATCATATACAAATCTATGAATGTTATAGATGGCGGATCGAGCGTTATGTAGAAAACGCAATTGAGATTCAAGTCTGAAAATGTTACAAAATCAACATGAAGTGTGATGAGACTAGTTGCAAAGTCTTTATTGTTATTATGAATAAAGCAATGTTTGAACACGGATTTTCTTATGGTCATTGCAGGAACACTAGAAAAGACGCAGACATTTCAAGACAAAGAATGTAGGCCATAGTTCGTGGATGATTTCCATAACCGCTTTGTCTACTGCATTCGTGACATTGTTAGCGTCATGCAGGGTCTAAGGCCTTTTACTCCAAGAGGGCACAGTCATCATAGGAAGGGTCCGGGAAAACATGGCACAGATTGAGAAAATGGCATAGTAGACCAGTAGAAATAAACAAACTCTTGTCTCTCTCTCTCTTCGACTCTTACTCGAAATATGGGAAGATTGGCAAGGCTGGGGTGATGCAAAGACACTAAGTACGTGCCATAGAGCACAGGAGAGATAATGAGTAATAAGTTTGACCCGGGTGTGTCGGTGTAGTCATACTACTCGTCGGGTAAGCAGCCACGTGGCCACAGGCTCTAATTATGCAGGTCGTCTGCATTCTTAACAAACATCGCCGTAACCGTCGGCTGGATAACTGAGTCCGTCCGAGAGATTTTGCAGATCTCTGGACTGACTTTGCAGACGTATCTCGTCTTCTGTGCCGCCTTTTTCTTGGGGTGTTGCCTCCTGAAGCGCTGAAGAAACCTGCCTCCCTACCCGGCAGGACGCGTGCTTGTTCTCGGGCACCTCCTCGCCTTGGGCCGAGCGCCTCACCTCAAGCTGACGGCGTGGAGGCGGCAGTACGGGGACGTCTTCACCGTCAGGATGGGGATGAAAGATGTGGTGGTTCTGAACGGCTACACTGCCGTCAAGGACTACCCTTCATAAGGTCACTACGTCTTTTTCTAACTTTGCATAAATGGCCCCTTCATTTGAAAATTGCCACATATCATAAGTGAGAGTTAACTTTTTGACCTAGTGGCAGTCCTTTTCGGCCATGCGCCAGGGGGTATATACTGAAATATCAGATTATGTTCTGTTTACTGTGTGTTTGAGTGGATGGGCGTATTTTCTATTTTCGTTGATCCAGGTAATAGTGAACCTTTACTCCCTCCACATGGACCCCGTCTACTGGCCTGATCCGGACCGGTTCGACCCCGGAAGGTTTCTGGACGCGGAAGGGAACGTCATCAACAAGCCTGAGTCTTTCCTGCCCTTTTCAGGAGGTACTTATCAGCTTTAAATAGGCCTTTGATTCCTTGGACCTTTGTATCAGCCCTAGACAAATAAACAAATAGAGATATAATCACCACAAGAATGTTACAGAGGATCATGACGGTTGGCTGATTTTACTACTCGGAATTCTTTATTTCCAGGCCGACGTGTGTGTCTTGGGGAGCAGCTGGCCAGGATGGAGCTTTTCCTGTTCTTCTCGACCCTGCTGCAGTCCTTCACCTTCCGGCCGCCAGAGGACGCTCCTCGTCCAACCACTGAGGGCGTCTTTGGTATAACGCTGAGACCGCATCCGTTCAAGCTCTGTGCGATCCCTCGCTAGTGTTTTTGGCCAGATGTACGAGAAATGACGTCACTCAACTGAGTTTTCTACTTAACATCAAGATGAAAATTAGCTTGTGATAGCAGAGAAATAGTAACTGTAGTCTGTATTTAGTTTGGCATGCAGGTGTGAAGAAAAGGGAAAATATCAAACGTCGTATCAGGTTGCTCGCTCAGCAGTAGATACACATATGCATGTCTATAACATAATGGTATTTCAAAGAGTTGGGATGACTCAATATCAAAGGTGTAACGTTACGGCATGCTAATTCATAATGTGAGATGTCTACAGCTTTCTTCATACTGTAACTGTACCACGAATACGTACGCTTATTTGTTTCAGTCAGAGCAGACACAGTTGTTTGGATCTGCTGAAGAAAAGACCGTGAAATAACTACTGATTGCTCGTGGGATAAGGCCGACCATTGGCCCGGACTGGTTTGTTTTAAGAACGGTTTCGGAAAAGGTCACAAAAATAGAGAAGTGGGAAACATGGGATGATAATATCTCTGAATTGAGCCACATTACCCTAGCCAAGCCTAGGCGGTAGCACATGAAAGGCAAGGGAAATACGAAGTACTATGCTTAGCCGTAAAGTGCCCCACGACATCCCTAGCCAGGGACCGGTAGGCGTATTCAGCACCAAGGACAGGACAAACTATCCCAATTTGTGTCATTGACAAACGCTATTCCCACGCCTGGGGAGCGCGATCAGCTGTTGATAACTCGTATATCAACTCTGTTGCTGGTGTAGGATGTCCAGGGAACCAGACGAGTGAAGAAATAAAGAAAACCCGTGGAAATTGTGTGTGTGTAAGATTTCATTTCTTCTCACATCCTTGACTATCTTACGTTCTGTTACGGTATCCAAGACCATTTATGATAGTTTTCACCCTCTTGTTAGTTGTCACCACACACATTACCACTATAATTCTTATTGTAATTGCCACAATACTCTCATTTTATCTAATTTTAAGTTTTCTACTGTGCAATTTTCTTTGTTTTATAGCAAAGTTAGTTTGTTTATTGGTTCCATCCAGCCGTAACCCGAGCCCGTTGCCGGGCAACCTGATTGTTCGAACAATCGTGACGTCACGTCTGGTACAATCTTGACAACTGAGCCGGAGTGCGGTCGGGAGTACATCGCTCTCCCACAAAACTCCCATTTCTAGCTGCCATTCGGCGTTTTGACGGCCAAAAAGTTCCGTAAATTTCATTTACCCCTACTTCTAACTACTGCAACCATGGGACCGGGTTAACTTACTCAGAATCGGAGATATCGGCGTCAAAAGGACGACCTTTTGACGTGAGAGAGTTCTGGGGGGCCGCCATCTTGAATACAGCAAGTGTTGACACCGAAGAGTCAACAAAAGCAACAAGCAGTGAAAACCGTTATGACAGCCTAAAATAAGAAGACCGTAGAGTCAAAGAAAACTACATAACCCACCATACCACCATCTACAGTAACTTCACATGTCCAGCACAAGTTAGCAGATTTAGATTGAAGTAAAGGTAAGTAGTTTTTTCATCAAAAAGTTGCGGCACTTTGAAAAGTGTGGTAGAACAAAATCGTGAACACCTAGAGCCTAGAGGCTCGTCTTGTTTTCTTCACAGAAAGCTGACTTAAAGGGGTTTCGGTGGAGAATTAGGATACAGAAAAGACTTTGAGGAGTAAACTTTGGTCAGAAAATTTGCCCGTAGTGTTGAAGTATATAATCTCCTACGTTTCAAGAAAAGTGCAAAAAGACTTCGTAATTTATAGTTGTGCAAGACCACAGAAAAGGGTGCCTATATTATTGTGTTGATGAACTTGATTAGATTGTTTAGAACTTGATTAGATAGTAAGACATTGTCATGGTATATCTAAGCAGAAAAAGTTGATATTCTGGTTGAAATTGTATTCTGCTTTTCACCTTAAGCCAAGTCAGCGTAGGTACTATTTCTCTGATTCTAGAGGAAGAGTTAGAAGGCAATATTGACAAGCATGTTAGGAAGGAAGGGTTTTTACTGTAAATATACAGAGGTTTTCAAGACTTAAACGTCATTACTAGACTTGTTTCTTTCTCAGTACTAGATTTTTTTTATACTAGGCACCTGTAGATTGTAAATATTACAAGTGACGAGAGAGAGAAAGAAAGAAACAGTTCCTTAAAAGTTCCTTTAAATTTTCTAGAACTACTAGTGTAAGATTGCAGATTTTTTTGTTATTGCAGACACCTACCCTGGTCATGCACCATGTACAGAAGACTTAAAGAGGTTGTTGCATCCCACCCGGCCTATCGTGTCCCCGCCCCTCCCCCTAAACCTATGCCAATCAGCCAGGCATCCTTGGGTCTACAGACCCGCAAAACCCAGCGAAGCCGCCACGAGGCCCCCCACGTCAGTGTCAACAAACAGCCATCAGTGCTGAGTGCAGAAGCCTACTGTGTCCCCGCCCCTCCCCCTAAACCTACGCCAATCAGCCAGGCATCCTTGGGTCTACAGACCCGCAAAACCCAGCGAAGCCGCCGCGAGGCCTCCCTTGTCAGTGTCAACAAACAGCCATCAGTGCTGAGTGCAGAAGGCCGTCATGTCCCTGCCCCTCCCCCAAAACCTATGCCAGTGGATCAGGCATCTCTGGATCTACAGCCGCAAACAAGCAAAGCCCGCCGCAGTCGCCGTGAGGCCCCCAAGGTCTGCATGAACAACCAGGCATTGGCGCTGAGTGCAGAAGACTACCATGTCCCTGTCCCTCCCCCAAAACCTACACCAGAGGAGCAGGCATCCCTGGATCTACAGCGGCAAACAAGCAAAGCCCGCCGCAGTCGCCGCGAGGCCCCCAAGGTCAGCATGAACAACCAGACATCGGCGCTGAGTGCAGAAGCCTACCATGTCCCTGCCCCTCCACCAAAACCTACGCCTGTGGATCAGGCATCCCTGGGTCTACAGCGGCAAACAGGCAAAGCCCGCTGCAGTCGCCGCGAGGTCCCCCGGGTCAACGAAAACAAGCAGGCGTTGGCACTGAGTGCAGAAGGCCTTCACATCCCCGCCCCTCCACCTAAACCTACTCCAGTGGATCAGGCATCCCTGGATCTACAGCGGCAACAAGCAAAGCCCGCCGCAGTCGCCGAGAGGCCCCCAAGGTCAGCATGAACAACCAGACATCGGCGCTGAGTGCAGAAGCCTACCATGTCCCCGCCCCTCCCCCAAAACCTACGCCAGTTGATCAGGCATCTCTGGGTCTAAAGCGGCAAACAGGC